GAATCCGACAAGAGTGTAACAGATAGACCGGTGGAGTAGTCAGACTTGAGGGTCAGGTCAGGAGTTCGGTTAAAACAGAAGAAATCATGGGAGTTTACCCAATATAATGGAAAAAGGACTCAAAGGCGGTAGCCTGCAGCTTATTTCGGGGAAGAATCTATCAGTATGGACACTCGGGCTAAAAAACTGGACTTAATCAAATGGTTGCTCCGATGGTAATATTGATTTAGGAAACCTGTTACGACGAGATCGTATTTTTTGGGGTTGGGATGCAGTAGGAACGAAACCGTCGTGTGGCGGCGAGAGAGACGTCGCGCGCGAAGGAATGTAGCACAGTGCAGCGAGTAAGAAATACAGGAACAAAAGAACTAACACTAGAATCTGCCGAAAGTAATAATCGCATCGCGATTGAGCCGAATGAAGAGCGCTAAAACTGGTATAATGAGGCAATTGGTCCGCGACAGCCGCGTGCGGCGGATCGATTACACAAAACCGCTCCTACCGCCCGTCTCCCTATTTTTTGGGGCCGAAGCTTTACCGCTGAAGAATACAAAATCAGCTGCAACCCATGAGCCATGGTCAGTAGGGAACATTACTATCGCGACTACATACAGAGTAAAAATTAAGACGAGTCAATGTTCAAAACTGGTGGCTCTATTTATGGCGTACTATGTAGGTTCATTCTAGGTGCAGTTGACTCAAATGTATGGTTTAATCAAGAGAAAGAGCTTGTATCTTACTTACCGAGCAAAAGGCAAAAAAAATGTCTCAATAAAGAATACTCACCCTAGCATCGTGTTTAACCCGACTGTTCATACTTGAAATGGCTCTATCGTCATCAGACATAACCTCGACACCGGACAGTACACCACCATTGTTCAGCGCCTGAAACGGCAAATTCTCTTTGAGACAAAGAAAAAATGTGCTAGATGGGTCTTATAGACCACGTTGATTCTAATGCAACTTGAAAGTATTCTTTGCTCTTTTCGAAACGGCCAAATCAAAAAAAAAAACCGAAAAGGTATAAAAAAATTATTGCCTAATGTCCTTACCTTATTAATGATGAGAAGGCCTCCGTTTCGGAGCAAGCGTATAGCATGTTCATAGTCGTCCAGGTAGCTTTCGCGTTCAAAGTCATCCTACAAATCAACATGGGCCTTATGTACGGAATTCCGATTTAATAGTAAGCTGTCACCTACCAGGAAAATAAAATCGAACGTATTCGGTTCATTGGCAGCGAGATTCGATAGCGAACGATCTATTGGCTCTGTTGATCGCACATGGATTCGGGACATTTGAGCATGAGGCATCTGAGTGGAGAAGAAATTCATTAGCTTCAGTTTCTATTATTATTTTTATTATTCTATCATTTTTACTATCGTTTTTATCTCTACTTAGCTTTCTCGAGTGATTAGAGGCTGTGTAGAAATACTGCAACAGTAAAGAACTGGCCGACCAAACGGTCCACGCTACCCGTTCGTTTAGGTGTCACCCAGCTGTGTGGACAACAGAAAAATAAACTTGGCTGTTAGGTGAACACTAGGTTTAGGAAAAGGTATCGTGCTTTCGAGGGTAACCAACCCTGTTTTGGTATGCGCCACGCCTCCAAAATCTCTTCCGAATCGCGACGGCATGTGATTGCGTGTCCGCTATTCAAGACCCCTTTCAGAAATGGGATGAGATCAGTAAATCGATTCTCATTTTTAAGACTGTTCCGGGATGAGTTGTTCTTGCTTTAGAAATGAATAGCCTGTATGGCTCCAATGGTTGCACAAATCTGTCAGCAGACCCCTCCATTCTTCTGCAGGAAAATTTTTCTTGTGTTCACATCCACTATGACAATGAAACCAGCGGAATACCTACATTTGCTTTATTAGCCGACCAATCTTCTAAAAACTTTTTCTGATCATGGTTGTCGAAGTATGATCCAAAAGTAAATCCTTTAATATACTAGTTAAGAAGCCTATTCCAGTCTAACATCAGTAGCTTACCTTCTTTGCGTATTTCATGCCGACATCCTCCCAATAGTGAGCATATTTGGGATGTTCTAGGGCTATGATCACACCTCTGTAGTCGACTTGTTCGGCGATACCAAGCAGAGCAAAACCCGTAAACACTCCTTAAAGCAATTCTTTTAAGAAACAGTAAAAACTAGAGAAGCTTGGAAAAGCAGAGCTGTGTCTGTGAATTTCAAAGAAGAAGTAGTGAACGATACTCTTTACATTCAGCTTTTCCAAAAACACGTAAAGTTATTTTACTATTAAGGTATTTATAATATAAAATCTTTCTTAATGCCACATCAAGGAGTGGCATAGGATCGTTATACAGTAACTGTTCAACTATTGAAGCAGCAAGACACTCAAGACAATCCCAAAATCGTTTAAAATTATCGTCCTTTCGAAAGAAAGATATTTCAAAGTCCTCGGATCAAGCCAAGGATGTAGTTCGTAATACAAAAAAAGGTAAAGCTACTCCAACAGCGAGAGCTTTAGACTAATTCCTATACGGATTTCACGGCATTGACGGAAAAAAGCAGAACTTGAGCCTGAAACTGAGACAGCTCTAATTATAATGGATTCGGAAAAAGGCTTTCTAGACTTTATTACGAGCAATGAGCTTACCACCCATTGAAGCGAAGGAAACGGAAGTAGAGATGGAAAGTATCAGTTTATTATATATTGCACCTAGAAAGTGGACATGCTAGAAAATTGAAGGTTGCCAATCCTCAAATTAGCCGTGAAGAGATTTGAATTCGCGCCATTGCCTAATAAAGAAGTTCCCATACAAATTTTGACGATAAAATCTCTCAGCGAATAGTTTCACATCGAATTTTGTATTTATTCTGATGGCAAAGAAGTATCGGGAAACTTTTTTAATGTTCACCATCAAAAAACTATCCAGCTGCTGACCAGCGGGAGCCTTGAAATTATCCCTCTCCGGGTTTCACTGCGCTGTGTGAGGGGATTCGTATTCTGAATAAAAGAGGGAAGACTGATGAGTACCAGTTCGGAAAGAGATTATTATTTTGACATCAATTTTCTCCAAAGGACCCACTTAGTTACCTGTAGAATTGACCTGTTGGCTAGCTTCTGAAGACGCTCTGGTAGTAAATAAATGACTTGTTCAGTGGTCCCTTCAAAACGTATAATTCTAATTCCTAACTACCCAATAATTATCCTCATCCTTCATCGACTAGTTAGGTAGACGGCCCAACATTAGCTATAACGGTCGGACTCTACAAGGCCCGATAGGGATTGTGGAGTAATCTCAAAGGCAAACATACCTATGACGAGACATCTTGAAGGTTTGTACAGTGACATGAGGGACTGTGTGAGCTGCAAGACTTCCGGAGTCACAGATTCTCGCCAAGATAGCAAGTCCGCTGATGATGCTTTGTGCATCTCCTGGAAAGACACTGTTAAGTAGTATGATCAGGTAAGTATGGAAGAAGTTCAATTCTCCGAACAGCAGCTTTAGACCAAACAATAACAACAACATTACTTTTCAAATCCCCATAGCTGAGGAGTCAATTTATGCTGATTATCGAAAGTCTTCTTTTAGGATCGGAAACTAAGACTTAATTTAGCTTGGTCCGTAACAACAAAACAATAACAACATTGCTTTCTCCTCATTAACTTGATTGACGTTGATCTTGCACTCAAATACCGCCACGATCCTAGATTGAAATCCAATGCATGGCGCATTTCCTAACGGCTCTTAACGTCAGCAGCCTTCGTGCAAGCTTTTTTTTTTGATGAATCATATTTTCTCTTTAGTTACCTCTCAATTCATAAGTCAGTAACACAGCTCACTGATAACGACTTCTTCTATAGGAATGCGATTTCACTGGTCAGGGAGCTAATAGAAAATTTGTAGGGAAGGTAAAAAAAGTGAAGTAAAGTAAGTAATAGGATATTTCTCTTTTTTCTTCACTCTTTGTCTGCTTCAGCTAGTCAGGGGAATGTTGCACTGCCTTCTTAGATTGTTGCATGCTGTAGCTGGTGCTTTGAAATCTTGTGTTTCTTTTCTTTATTTTTGCTTCGCTGTGTTTGAGCTTACTAGTACATCTGTCTGAGTGCTTTGGTGCACCATGAGTGCAGTATATAAATAAATAAATATAAACAGAGTAGTACCGACCCTGAGAAGACCCTGCATGTATTCGTCGATAGCTGTTGAGTGACTATAGGCATATTGAAAAATCGGATCCGTGGTGTCATAGCTTCCAAGTTGAACCTCACAACGCTTTCCTGGTTCTAAATGTAAAATAAATAAATGTTATGTAAAAAATAATAATAGAAATAACAATAAATTAATAATAAATAATAGAAATATAATGTTTCCTTGTTTTGCTGAATCACTTCATTGATGAAAGTGGTTGAATTGTGAATAAAATGGATTTAATGAAGAGGTCATGAGCTGGCTTGCTTCTGCTCAGGTATGCGCTACTCCCTCAACCGCGCCAAAGGCCTTCAGAAGGCGTTTGGGACCTTTAAAATTCCTAGAACCTCCTTTTTAGGACTCGTATGGCAAAATGGCAAAATCTATCACATATGTAGTTCACATAGCTACACCTGTACTGGATGGCTGTGTGGGTAAGGACATTTACGGCAATGCGCTTCCCATTTCTGTTTTTTGGTTGACAGCATTCTTCGGGGCATAGTTCGCTTCTGACCACATTGAATGTCAAGCTTTTGTACTGGGGAAATACTTTGGCCCTTGTAAGACCAATTTGTGCGTTGTCACGGCACAATACGGGCCAGAAATGGTGCACAGGCGACTCAAAGTCCTCCCGCCCCGTAGTTCTCAAAGAGCTCAAAGTCCACCTGCCAGATGGGCAAGTGGACTCCGAGCTCTTTGCATACCAGGCCATATTTCGCAGTGATAACACCATGTATCAGTTTCTCCAAGGGCAAAGTTCGTTCCCAGTCCATAGTCCGCTGAACGATCCGATCAAGGTGAAGTGCGGTCAAGGGGTACTCTCGCTCGCACTCATTGAGATATCTATCAACCGCTATATTAACAAACTCCGTCCACGTGGCAACCGGAAACAGTGTGTATACACCGGTTCAGAACACAAAACGTTGCAGATTAACAGATGCATTATGGAATAATAGGTAAAATATAGTAAGGAAAAGGCTGCCTCCAAACTCAGGTGTTGCCTTTTCTCTGACTAACACCCCCTCCTCTCCCACCCCTTCGGAAGGCGTCACCAGCTCGATATCCAGGAGTTAAACACAATATAAAGCAGACTTACGGCAAACATTGCCACCAGTTGATACCATTTGGCTGAGTCCGTTGGTTGAAGGTTCAGTGGGTGGAGTTGGCCGAGCAAACTTCATAGCCTACAACGACAATCAGTTAAATCGGATATACGGTGCCCGGAAAGCACAAGTGCAGGTTCGAGTCCCGTCAGAGACTGAAGTTTTGTCCGTGAATCGTCAAGTTTGTGAGATTAAATCGGATAAATAACGAAGCAATAGTGACTGTTCCGAACCCTGTTCGGAGTTTGTACCTTCCTATAAGAACTTAGGGCCGATTTATAGTTACCCTCCTGGAAATATTCTAAAGACATTTTTTTTTTTCTTCTAAATTCAGCTGCTGTTCTGTGATTGGTGGATCACTGTAGTAGCCAGTCACGGCAGGTCTTGCTTACCTCCGGATTCCAGAATTATTTGCGTGATAGTGGGGCTATTAGAAGATGGAGAGCTCTTCTACATGAAAGAAAGTTCATACGGGTGCGAAGATATTCACTTAATCGCTTCGGACCGCAGAGAGTCAGCTGGTCACTGCTCTACTATCTTCATACACATCGAAAAAAAAGGTTAAGCCGTGAACCCACCTTTTCATAGAACGAACGAATGTTTTCGATGGTTGGTGGTAACTCAGTACTTATTTGCGAGTAAGTGATTTCTTCTACTGGAGAAGATGGAGTAACCCTGAATACAATGCTACCAATTTGTTGTACTAGTAAGCTCTGTAAAAGCCCCACTGACACTACCTTCTTCCATTTGGTAGCACAGGTCTCCAGGTGAATGGTCTCCTCGTAGTAGAAGGGCGTCGTGTGGTCTTCGTGGTAGGCCAAATAATCCTGGGACTGTAGGTGGTATAGACCTGTGGTCCTCTACTTGTTGGTGACGTCATTTGCGCTGTACTGGTTTGAACGATAGGAGCAGTAACAGCACTACGTTCAGGCATTGGAATAGTAGGCGTTGTATTGGGAAGTATGGATGGCGGTTGTTCTGAAAGAGGTACTGCCTGAGTTATACGTAAAGGCGTATGGCTCAGTGGTCAGGAAAGGTGTACCGCTTGCATGGTTGCAAGTTCAACACCGATATAGTATCCGATGACTTTTTAAAACTTACGCGTTGTGGTGACATTGAAAAATTTGCGGATTCCGTTTGCGATAGCTTTTGTGTCCTCCTCATCGAATGTTCTGGAAATCAGGCGGCCGATACCGGAAAAGAACTGTTTTGCAGCTGAAATCGATTACGGTGATGATGTACAGCAGATGTGAAGGGAAGAGGTATAGACGCCAGTTGCTGGAGATTCAGGAAGGGAGGGGAGCATCAGGGGGTAGAAGTGAAAAGGAATGGGCACATACACAGACGGATCTGTTACGGGCAGTCAAAAGGAGACGGCAAAATCAATCACAGAACAAATTTGTGGTAAAGAAAATAAGCACAAAGGGGGGGGGGACCGCCATGTGGGAGAAGGAGTACTATCCGTGGGAGAAGGATTAACTATTCCGCTAACACTGTAAGCTTCTGCATGAGCTCCAAATACCAGGTTCGTAGGTCTGGGAGCTTGATGATCTATAGTTCCCTTGACTGGGGAGGGAAATAAGTTTGCCTAGGACCATGATAATCGCTTAGAATGCTACTGGAGGCTTCCTCCCACCAATTGCATTCACGTTACCCACACTGCTACCTAACTCCCAGGGGCATAGCGAAGAGCTCGGTAGTGGTAGTTCTTCATAAATTCCCTTCAGTGCTTACCTGAAGCCAATTTACTGAGGCTTACTGAGCCTGAGTGTTCATCGGAACCATTGTAGGCTGTTGCCTCGCGAATGGCTTGCAACATCTCGTCGAAGTTCTCCTTGAACACGTAATTTATGGGGTTGATGACAGAACAGAACACAAAATCCAGTAAGAACTTACAAACGGTAGCCATAATCCCTTGATGTTAATCATGCAGGTGGACAAAAGGATGAGTCCGACTCTCATGGCGACGACTTGATGAGGTCTGCGGAGGAGCTGCAGCATAGTCGTGCTTCGTTGTCACAACATGTCAAACTGTCAACGGGCATCGTGCGCCCACCAGGACATTTCCGGTGATTTTCCGCTTCATCCAAACTGATGAAACAAGGGGGGAATCTAGCGAACAATCTACATTGAACGTTTCCAAAGTCTCTGGAAAAAGAGATTTTTAAATGTTTAAAGTCTATGAGTTGTGCGTCAAAAAGTCCGCCATTAACAGCTGAAAGCGTTCCAGTCATATGATGAGGTCTCACTAGAAATTATCGGAAGGAAAAAGGTGTTCAATAAAGAAGCTCAATAGATTCCGTTACAGATAGGAAGATAGGAAGGATTCGGCAGTGACGATGTCCCAGCCCCAGAAAAAAACCGTTCACCTTAATTTCAAACGGAAAGCGAAGTATTGAATCTTGAACACACCGATAATGAGTGCACGTTTTTGCACGTTCACTCATAGGGCAGACGAGAGTTTCGATTTCTTTTTGTATCGATTTCTGCAATAGGTCAATTGGAGACTACGAGTTCTTCTATCAACTTCTATGGTTTTACTGGTATTTGTCGAGAGTTTCACTTAGCTTCGAAACCATCTGGTGACCATTGGGCCAGAACGATTACCGATCGGGTACTTTGGATATAAACGGACATTAGGATGACCACGGGACTGAACGACTCCGTGGACGCTCTGCGAACGGAAGTAATGTACCGCTGTAAATCACTTGAACAAGCAAATGGCTATCGACGGCCATGGATCACCAGATCGGCGAGATGCTGTTGGTTGAAGGATTTCGGTGGTCAACGACCAAAAAGGTTAAACAGGTGATGGCATATTTAAAATGCGTTTTTCGCCTCCACCATAGTAATTTTTTTGACTGGATTTCAGTATTACACTGTAAGAACCTTTGTTACTAATTGCAGCTAGTAATGTGAGAGTAAGAGTTCCGGAAATTAGTTAAGAAGAAGTATACGAATTATTAAAAATAATTGGTATTTCAGAAAGAGAGGATCACACTCTGGCTCTGACCGGTACCCTCGTGAGCCTTGCACACGATTCCCAGTCCAAATGGCAGTGGTGTTTGAATGGTATTAAGGCCATACAAAGTTTTTACGGGCCATTGCATGTATTTACACATGGGTGCTTTTCCACTCTCGAAAAGCTAAGCACCAACTAAACGACCCCGGAGGCCTGTCTGCCGTGGGTTTAACAAATTTCCCCAATTTCTCCCCAACGGAGCAGGTCCACACCCGTTTGGTCGGCTTAGCTTCCAGCTTTGATGACCGGTCTTAGTGATGGCGAAGAACCCCTCCTTTGATATCGACGGCAGCTTAAAGCTCAGCTTTCAAGGCTGAAGGCATTTCATGGACTCGTTTGTTCCCCCTTTGTTCAGAGCTCGATTCCGGAAGCCTAATTAAAGATAACTTGTCACAATCACATTACGAGCGCCAGCTATTAATTAGAAGAAATGATGATGCGCTCTGAGGAACTGGACCTGCTAATTCATTTGAGGAGTGACTTTTCCGGTCAGAATCCTCTCCATACTCAAAAGCAGTCCAATGAATTGCCTTAATGTTCCAGAAGGATATTGCAACTAAATTTCACCATTGAAGGCGTTCTAGGACGAAAAATCGAAACTTCGAAGCTCACGAGGAAGTATAAACCCAAGTAACTCGCGGAAAATACCAGCATTTCGCTTAGATGAAGCAGTCTCAGTTGTTGATTATCGAACGTTGGTAGAGAAATCTTAAATAGGGTTCGAGACTAGCAGTTCCTCAGGGCAATCTCTATGAATAGAACTTCAGACTTTACATCTTCCAGAATTATGGACTGCTGTATTCAATTCACAGAGGGGTTTGGAGGGGCGGAAATGGAGAGGCCAGAAAGGGAATGGCTGTTACACTTGATTTGAGGATTAGATCCCAAATTTGATTTTTTTAGAACAATAAAGCCTTTCATGTATGAGGAACCGGGCATCCAGTCTTCTCTGCAGTTTTGGATAAAGTCGACTGCCTGGCGGAGCCTAGAAGAAAACAATTCACGTAAAATTTCATAGTCTTTGGTAGCCCAGAATCAGGACAGTAATCAGTGAACAGTCTGTATTCCCCACATGATCCCCGTCTACTGCCTTAGATGATGAAGAGGTTCATAACTTCCTCTAAAGTTCGAGTGACTGAAGTTATGAACTTTCCCGGTCACTGTGTTGATCTTCACAGAAGCTTGTTGGTAGGCGATGAACTCCATCACTCCATCAAGATGAAGGCCTGAGGCAAATGCAAGTTCGGAAGTATATGCTGGAAATAACAAATGGCGTATTCCGTTGAAACCGCATTCCTTCTGAATTCCTTCATATGGGACTAGAAAACGGCCTAGGTGAGTCTCCATATGAATCCCTTCTTACCTGGTAACCAGTTTCGTTCTGCGACGGGTTATTTCGTTAGCAGAAGAAACTCTGCGTTCGACGTCGTGAAGCGATTCATTGGATAGCAAAAACGGCGATAGTTTCGGTTGAGGTGCCAGTTCGTGAGGGCGTTGTCGCCTCCGACGTCGTTTCTCAACGCTTTTGGGTGACGTTTTTGTAGATAAACGTTGGCGCCATTCAGATGTGGGAGGGAGATGTGAGCAGCCAGAAGGATGGGTATCACCTTCCGATAACGTCGTCAAACCGCTTTTTCCATGGTATTTTCTGCGCTTACCTAGATTTCCCGACCTTCTTCGCGCCATCACCATCTCCAGCCATACCAGCCACCACCCAGATTTCCCGACCTTCCGCCGCCGCCGCTGCGTCGACGACGCAGCCGCCTCCGCCACACCCCGAAAACGGCGTTGTAAATCAGCTTGCCCAAACGGCCAACCCGTTTCATATTAGAACAAATTCCTCTCACCGCCGGTTGCTAGCTTTCCGTCTGACCGCACTCTGATCACCACCCTCCCCACCCTCTTACCATCAGCATGGAGTTTCGGCCCGAATATGGCCGCCCTCCACCGGAATTTTATCGTGGTGTCGACTATCCCGAATATCGGGATTTTCGTGAGCCTGATCATCGTTCACATGACTATGTCGATGTTCCCAGGCATGATTTTGCACCACAACTTCGAGCCCGTTCACATACACGGCTCGATCCTGAGTATATTCCATCCGAATTTCCTCCGTACAATCGTCCATTGGATAAAACACTCAGGTATGCTCTGCTTATCTAAACGATTGATCGACTTCTTATAGCTCGTCATTGTCTCGACATACCTCCCGATTGACGAGGCAATTTGGCTTGTCGGGCGTTTGTTACCTTTCTAGAAAACCCGTTTCGTAATTGATGATTAACCGTTTTTGCGCAGTTCTGCAGTACCTGCGATCAATTCTGTAATAACTTGTAATGGATTACACATTATTGAGCGTTTTGAAAGACAGTTTTCGTTGCAGGAGCAAATCTTTGGACCATCGTGAAGCCTTCGATCGAGATCACGTCTATGACGACCGTCGAGGAATAAACATACCAATTTATCGAGAACGAAACGAAAGGTACTACGACTACGAAAAAGACCTCTATACGCCATTTGTTAGGCGAGAGGACCGAAGGGACGGTGTGCTGGACACAACGGCTCGAAGTGGTGCTTATTCGCGTGACATCGACATTCCGTTGAAAAGAACACCTCGAGCACTGACGAGGAGCACCGAGTGGCTGTCACGACGAAACTACGAAGACGGCGGTAGACCTCGTAATCCTCGTGATGTTTCCAGAACTGAAGGCTACTCGCCCAAGTCAGCTTCCTCCTCGAAGCGTCACAACCTCAACATCACAATCGACCCAAGTCGTGCTCGACGAGAATACGGCAGATCAGAAGACTTTATTGGTTACGGTGATGGCCGAGAGATGTACCGAGATGATGGCCGACAACATGAGGTAGAGACTCGTGGGGGTGCCAGTGCACATAGACGTCAGGCTCACTCCAGTTACCACCACGAGTCCCATATGAGTGGTGGTGGCGGATTTGGTTCACCGTCACGACGAGCAATCACGCAGCAACCGATGCACGGTGGACCCGGAGCTCCTCCCGGTGCTTACCGTCCCATACGGCATCATCGCGTCCAGTGCTGTTGCTTCAATTTCACTTGGCCGCCATGGAGCTACGAACCAACGGCACCACCTCAGCCACTCTATAGAAATATTTAACTGGTCTTTGTTCACATGCCGTATGTATTGCTCAACGACTGCCACTCAGAGAACCGTTTTATTATTGTTGTATATAGATTTATTGGATCGTCTCGTCGTTTATGTCGAAGAGGTGAGTACTATAAAGTGATTGAGTCAAATCGAATCGATAACTAGCGTTTTGCGTACAATGCTCGTCTAACAGCCACAATCATTTGACGACCTTGTTGGGTAATGATTGCGCGCTCATTCGTCTTTCCATCCGTCTTCCTTTCAACGTTGAGAAAACTGTAAATGGCCGCGGTCGATGAGTGCTGATCGCTGAGACGTGTGAACAACCACAATGAAACCATCTAAGCGTTTCCTGTCCCATAACTCTATACTGTAATATTTTCCAATCCAGTTCATGCCATATTTGCATTACCGGTAATGCCCTGTACCTATGGGACCGCACACTTATTTTCAAACCAACCTTCGAGCTAGTTATTGGGGTAAGATGCAAGCTAATCAGCGAATGACACCCTACGTCATGAAACATTCCCGCCCACTGGGCTAGCCACGCCCCTCACAGCTTGCTGCTTTAGCTGCGGCATGGTTTCGCGGTTGAATCCTGCCTAACAATCACTATTTCAGGCTTCTCCAACACTGCCAATGTTATACGTCTCGTATCTTTTGTTGATGATGCCCTTTTCACCTCTAGCCTTTTATTGCAGTACCAATAAGTTGTCTCCAGTGCGACATACACGTGTATCAGCATGAGAAAAGCTAATAAAAAGTTTATTTTTAGTGTCATCCTCAATAAAGTCTCTTCCTTTTCGTGAAATTTATCGAATTAACGTATTAGTACATATGAAATATATATAAATATGGCGAGAAAATGGTGGAGCATATCAGTTACACACACAGATACACACTAGAAACTGGAATATGTTGAGCATCCTCTATGAGAACGGTTTCACATTTAAGTTATATCTTGATGAGCCTTCTAGTATTACATTTAAGCAAAATTTGCTTAATAATAATCATAAAATTATCAATATACTTATGACTATAATTTTATGACACTTGGTGACATTTTTCGTGGGCGCAGCCGAGCGACGACGTTTTTAATGGTGTTGCTCTCGATCAGTTTACAATCTGTGTTAAAGTGCAAAAAGTAACGAATACAAATCACATGGAAAATCAAGAAAATCGATGGGTCTGAGGGGATTCTGATGGCACCGTGGCTGTTCTTCTTCTGATGCGGGGTAGATGTCTAGAAATGATAGGAGACTTCACGTTCACGCCCTCGTAGACTCGAGTTATCGTAGTCGTTGAGGTAATCGAATTGACTCAAAGCATCTCTGACGTCATCACCTGTAAATATGAGATCAGTTGAAGGAGAGTGGTTTACTGACGTGATCGCATGGATACGCCCCACGATCGTCCTTCGTCGCATGTGTACGTGCGCATTCCGTGCCAACAAGTGCGACAGTTCAACTGTCCGATTCAATTAGTAGTTATCCGGTTAGGTGCTAACCCTGGCAAGGCTCAATCTTATTACGTTGGAGTACACATAAATGCGCTACATCAAAAACACTGTTAATTAAGTGACCTTATTCTAAAAGACGGCTCAGTTTCGAGATTGAAACAGAGGGGACGTCTTTTCCCTTTTGGAAAACCTAGGACTCAGAATTCTCGAAAGGGATTTGTAATCTGCGGACGATGCGGTGAACCGGTTCTTAAGGATTCGCACAACTGAGATCATCAGTGAAGTAACGGTAGCAAATTGTTTGAGGGAGTCCGGCCGAGATAGGGCAGGGTGGGGGTGGAAGGGTGAAAACACCACTTGATTGTGGGATCATTACCAGATTACCTAGATCAGGCTACTTGTGCGGAACTGCGATAACGTTCTGCAGCTAGGGGATGCCCAGGGGTCCTTTAGTGGTTAAACCATTCAGCGGGTGGTCCAAGGTTCAGATAACGCTCTTCAACTCGATCGAGTGGAGCAGCACCAGAATCGTGACCACCAGCTGTGAAGTAAATGAGCCAGTTTCTCCGGTATTCCACATATAGACTTCACTAAAATTTCAGATTTCGGATAGTACTGTTACTTACAGGCAATCCCTGAGCCTCTAGGGGACTAAGTTAAAGCACGGTATGCCAGCGATGACATAGTCCAGCTTCAGGAACTCCTTATCGAAAAAAGTCATCGGAGGTAAACGGATGGACAAAAAGTGATAATACGATTAACAGGAGCCACCCATTGCATCGTCTTGCTCTTTGGTTCAGTAAAAAGGAGAGTCCGAGTTCAGGTTCTGTGGAACCACTGATGCATCTTCCCTGACGCTTCCAAAACTATGGAGCGATTCCCAGGCCCTGGTGCTGACTCCGTGATGTTTGATTCCTAGGAATCTCTGACAATCCGAAGAAAGGCTACCCATGAACGAGTGTCGTTTGAGTTATGGACTTTTGATACAGTTTTTTGAGGATTGTTCGCCACGCTTGAAAGGACAGTTTACGATAAACCTGGGGTATCTAGCTTAAGTGAAATAATGAAAGGTATGGCCGAGAAAATTGGAAGAAAAGGTGAAGGAAGCGCAAAATCGGTGTATTTAAAGGGTTATGAGCCTTCAAAAAAAAAGTTAGTAAGGAAGGGATATAATTTGTCTATAATCATCTGGGTGTCTCCTACATAGGCGGACCAACCGTCGACGCCCTAAGGCTTCAGTGTGGATGATGCAGCCTTAACGAGGCCGTCATAACACGGCCACTTTTGGGCGTGTATGTCGGCCAAGNNCGGTTTTGAAGCCCTTATAACGCCTTATTGAAGTCGTTTCCGGGCCGATCGTATTCCATGAGCTACCCTCGGTTGCCACCGGGGTCATCTCGAAGGAAAGTTCCGAAGACCATATGTAGCGATATTGTACTGGGCATAATATTGTCACAGATTGTGTTTTTACCACCGAGTATGTCAAAAATTCTAAATCATCACTTCGGACCTGAAAGCCAAACTTAACTTTCAATAAAGCTAATGGGAAGCTGGACTTGATTCTCTTCTTCCGCTGTGTTCTCACCCATCGCAAAAATGAGCTTTTAATCGCAGTGTGTTGTTTTTTGTAAAAAATCTAATGTTAAATGTAGTACCATTGCTACAAAAAGATTCAAGACATTGGCTGCACTCATTTAACAATGTGGTATGTAATAGTCTGAACCCAAAGGCTTGTTTGTTAGAGGGGAGATAGCCAAAGTAAATACATAGGCTGTGCTGTGAAATAAGCTGAGACTACGAACAATACTTTGATGTTTGTTCTCTTCGTTGAAAGACTTTTTTATCACTATCCTATGACCCTTTTTTACAAAACAACCGAAGAGCAAGTAGCACTTTTCCCGGACGTGTGGTCCAGGGATGATATGCTGATCGATCAGTTAGACTAACAAGTCCCTCTAATCCCCTCTCTTTCTCTCTTTTCCGTTCAGCTAAGTAGGAATTGATTAGTTAAGTTAGAAATTTTCGCGAATCGATTGACTGAAACTAGATTCATCTGTAGAACGAAAACTGTTCCATCTGCTAACCGGCCGGCCTTATAATTTGTTGCGCAGGCCAATATATATTAAAATGTTACCGTGGTTCTGATTCAAAGTCAAAACCGTAGTGTACCCTAACAGAGGAACACCCACCCCGAAAACTGCATCTTCTAGGTTTGCACTATGAGGGTAAAAGAACGGATAGCCTGGCCGGCTGAGAAGGGAGGTATCCGTCTGCTCTCAGGAAAATCGCGATTCGAATCCTAGCGAGGTCAAACCATGCCTTTCAAAATTCTCAAGAATGGTGTCGGTACCAGAGTTAGGTCCATTGAATAGGTCGATCGATGGAGAACCTTCGTCACAACAAAAATAATTTATGAAACAAAAGAACTCAGGTATAATGTGCCTACTTTACGACTGAGCGAGTTTACCCTAGTGAGAGGAAAAAATGGGGGGCAAAAAAGAGGGAGTGAAATGGAATAGCCATCTTTTAAAAACTTCAAACATACAATCTTTTCGGAAACGCGAATATACAAAGCACTATGAAAGACATGTAAAACAAAATCCCTTAAGGGCGTGTCAAGACCATGAGTGGCTGGTTGTTTAGTCAGCCAATCAGCATTCACGCTCCATTCCCAGGGATGAAGATCATGGGAAGGATGGTGATGAAGAAAATCTGCCACAGATAAGGAAAGTTCAAAATTTCATCGCTTTTGAAGGGATTACGAGTCGCACAGCATTGGAATTCTCTCCTACCAAATTGGGGCCGATTTCATCTCAATTCAAATGTAAGTAGGCCTATGACTGGAAGTATCTTAGTAGGAAATAAACCCGATCGTGCCCATAACCATCTAGAACCGCCACCATATCAAGTCATAAAAAGGTACTGAATCAAGTATGGCTCCAGCTATCCAATGCAAAACCGATACAGATCAGTAGGCTTCCTTTGTAAATAGGCTTCCTTTGTAAACCAGACAGTATCGATTGGATATTTGTCCTAGTCCACAATGAAATCGGTTAAACCGGGCTATGACTCACCGATTCCACCATTGATGCTCGGGCTACGCACTGCTCGGCTACTCGTTCGTGATTCCGTGGAAAAACCTGCACCATCAGCACGATCGTATCGACTGCTAGAGACGAGAACGTTTCCAAAGGGAAATGATGGTGGTATCATCGAGGTAAGTTTTTGAATTACCTCGGTCTATCTCGTCGGCCATTATCCATATTTATGGGAATGTAGACGACTTGCCCGTTTTCTGTGTATGACCTTCAAATATTCTCAATCAATTTATTATTTTTCACATGTCATTAAGATAGATTGTCCGAATACAACGCGAGGCGGAAACAGTATCTCTGCTCATTGATTTACTGAAATGATGGTGTTATCTCTTCACGTCCCCGTTGTGGGTTGATTTGAAACTAGGACAAAGCTCAAAAGTCACCGACCTTGACTCGTAATCTGGCCGCGACGTTGGACTAGGGGACATCAATCGTGACGGTGACTGTGATCGCATTATAGACTGAATATGATGGATACCTTATAAAGTTTTTTTTTNTTTTTTTTTCTGGAAGTAATTGTTATTCAACTAACCTGTCTTGAATGTGAATGTGGATCCGGTGTTATCGCCCTTTTCGTAACCACACTAGAGACAACTGGCTGTGAGGGGAACAGATAGCTGAAGCCAGCATGAGGAACCTGAGCCTCAACAATCGGTGGCTCCGCAAAACGAGCCCGAGGTGACGATGGGCTGGCATAACGTGCACGTGGCGATGATGAATCTACTTGTAGCCTGAATATGCCATAAAATAATGAAACAAAACAAGTGGAAAAGGAAGTATGCTGGCAATTTGTTGGCTTTAAGTTATTATGAAGTTACTACTTACAACTAAGACAGAGAAAATTTCTTTCTTTTGAATGAATAGTTGCCTTACTCATACCCGAAGTGGGTAACGCAGTTATAGCTTCAGAAATATTTTAAAATAATGATGCTGCCTCTAAAAATCGAGCTCGATTCTGTAGCTGTACATCAGCCAACTGCATTCTGATACAACTGACCAACACTGACATGTTCTACTCTGTTGTAGTGTTACATACCCTTCCCTCCTACAAAGTGAACAGGCAAAAAGAACAATCTTAAATACAAATGATTCTAAATTGTAATCCTTCAATGCAAATGATCTTAAACTGTAAGTAGTAAGAAATACCTCGAATCATGCCTTGTAGGGGAGTAAGCTGGAGAAGACGTTCTTCTCGTTAAAGTTCTACTTTGTGCACGAGCTGACGACGGTCGAGCGGAATTCGGACGAGTTAACGTGGCTGTCGTTGCAGCATCTTCACGAGTAGTCAAGTCATGGACACTGGAAAACAAATTTTGCTCTTTTAGGGTTTGCACAAAAGAAAGTAGGGTACAGTAGAAGGCGGACTATTGCAGGGGGTTTCACTATTCGCGAAACAATCAGCAAGATTGATTTCCGATTTTGACCCTCCAGTTTTCTGCTCTGCTATCTACGACCTGGTACAACAAGCTAAATACTGGCGGTGTTACTCGGACCTCATCGACTCTCCGAAGGAGTGATACTTGATAACTAAGCTCCATCACACTCATTTAGCCCGGGAAGGAATGGAACGATCCATGCCGTTCGAGAATGGGCAGGGTAACAAATTTGAGCAGTTATTGTCAAGTATGGAGTGGACTTGTTATAACTCAAGATAGTTATATAATAAGATAAAAGCCGATTCTCTAACGAAAGTAAGGTAAACTAGGTATATAAAGCTAGCTAAACTTGGATAGAAACTGATTTCTCATACCTTCTTGACATTGCTCTCGAATGTTGGATAGGATGGTAAAGCTGCTGCTCTTGAGGTGTGAACCGCTTCAGCCCACGTGGTAGAGTGTCTGGACTTTCACCTCTGAAGTAAAGAATTTTATCAGTAGAAGTGTTCAACTGCCCAACGATAGAAGAAGCTCTTCAATAAAAAGCCAACAAGCATTGTGTTAATTTTGCCCGAACAGCAAAAAAAACTTGACTTTCGCGCCAAAATTACGCCTTGCTCGTCTGCGCCCTCTCACCGAGACCATGTTCAGTGATATTCAGAGAATGATAGGGATTTTCTTTGCGGTAGGTTCAAATTAGATTGGCGTTACTTCATAATTATCATTACACCAATCGACAGTAACTCTCTGCAAAAATCTGGTACCAACTCCAAACATGCTGCCCCTTGTTTACAACTAAATCTTGGTCGATACCGCCGGACGAGTAGTTCCTCGTCGCTTACTCACTCGCTCGCGGGCCAAATCACGGACTATGAAAGCAGCCAAAGGGGGCAGTAGGCTTCCTCGTTAGTTGTCACAGTGGGACAACTAACTACGAACCATCTGTACCGTGAGAGGATGGAGAGCAGCGCCGAACATCCGCGTACCGAGCTACGATGCTTTTAGCACACCACCTCCGCGGTCCTTGAAGGTTACTTTTCATTAATTTTACAAAATATCCCACCGTTCAGGTCCTATCATTGCACTTTCACTTTTAGCCCGACGCATTCCACTTGAATTCTGTCTTTCAGTAGTATTATAAATAGGTCGATTCAACGTGGGTGGCGAGTAGGACGCATCTGAAAAATCAGGAAAACAGTAATTTTACAAAATCCTTCACAACTAGTTCAACCAATGCAGTATTAATGAGCCTACTCGATATAAACATCATATAAGTTTGCGAAAGCTGTCATACTGTAGCGAAAGCTCCAAGTGTATCCTACCATTCAAAAATAATCAAAAATAACAAATTAAAAATAACAAAAATGACAAAACACGAATAGGCTCAGGTACCAGAAGATAACTGACCGGATTGTGCTTGCCAAGTACGACTTGACAAAGTAAGTGATCGGCGGTCAGGATAGAATGCATTTGATGAATGCCGATCGGCTTCGGGATAGTATCCAGGCGCTGAGGAGCGCCCACTGGAGCCCATACCAGTTTGTTTCTTGAACCGCTGACGTTCAACATTCTTAGCTAAGGAGGTATTGCCCTAGAAATAAGGCTGCTCACAAAAGCTTCGTGTTCAACTTCATACTCGGGAACTTAAAATCGTAGAGACTGGATAGTAACTGGTAGTGTCATTTGCCCCAAGAGTAAACGGTCGAAAAGTAACTATAGCACAGTAAAAAACTTCAATTCCAACTGGCTTCCGATGCCCTAGTATTCACTACTCGAACCACCTACATCACATAAAACTACGTACCGCAGAGTACTTCCCGGCAAGAGGCGGTCGACCATGGCGTGGTCGGTCGCTTTGAGCAGTATCACTTTCCGTTTCGGATAACCTACAAAATAATAGTATACAGTAATATTAATATCACAAAATCCATAACCTTAAGTTACCCGTAGATATGATTATGCTCCACACCATAAGCAGGCAATGTGAGTGGACCTGCTGATCTCCACAATGACAGTTCTTCAACGAGAACATCCATACCGCCAGGTGGAGTTGTTTGAGCAGCGATGAGCTGAAAATATTTTTTGCAATAGTTATTTTGTATTCTACAGGCTGTAAAAACATTAATAAAATGTAAGTGCCTTTAAAGCTCTCACAAACCAGTATCTCAGGGCACATCACAAAGCAGCCGGCTTCGCAACATGCGTAACTAGGAGGGAACGGGTGTGGTGCAGCAGGAACGAAATTGGCGCGGCGCGGCGAGGGACGCCGCGCGCGAAGGAATGTAGCAGAATGCGGAAGCAAGTAAGAAATACGGGAACAAAAGAACTAGCAGTAGAAACATGCCAAAAGTAATAGACGCATAGCGATTGAGATGTATGAAAAACGCTAAAACTGTTGTAACGAGGCAAATGGTCCGCGACAGCCGCGTGCGGCGGATCGATTACACAAAACCGTTCCTACTGCCCTAGTCAGTTTGCTACTGCATATAACCTGGATGATCAAGACATTTAGGCACAGAATCAGAAAATCGCAGGGTGAAATTGTTCTTAATCTAGAAATGAGTGGGCCGGATCAAGTTTTATGGAATTTTACTCTAGGGATTCAGTTGTTAAGTTATACCAAATTGCGGGCTACTCCTTTGGAAATAAGTTTTGTACGAATACCCGCAAAGTAGCCGATAATTATTCGAATCATCTACCAAGTAAAAATTCCCTTGCTCATGCTCAAATCCCTCTTCATCGTGCTTATACTTTTTCACTGTGCACCAGAGTAGCTACGAATGTAAAGGTGTAGTAGAACAAGCATTCGCGCCACTTTTAGTAATGCCGCTGTGCTAAGGAAAGATAACGAGCTGTAATGAGTGGTAGAAGGAAGTATCATGTCATCTCGTTGCCTGACCATTACAGTTACGGTGCGTAATCATGAGAAAACAAATTCTAATAAAAACATGGTAGAATGTTAGTATTAGTGTTGTTACAGGCCCAAAAAGGTAAAGCATGAAAGAATGCTGTAAAAAGTGCCCATCGAATGGGTACGAAGCGGAATAGCCGGTTACTGCTAACAAGGCTTGTAAGTAAGGAAATGTTCAAAGAAAGGCAAAAGACAGACTGTCGAAAAACACTCACACTTTCCACGTATTCCACGCTGAATTTCGATAAAGTGATTTCAGATCGCACTAGAGATCGATGAAGCGATGAAGGTGCTGTGGCTAACATTTTGTTGAACAGGCGAACAATTAGAATCTGAAACATTGAAATAGGAATCTTGTCAGCAAGTCGGATCCAACAACCCAGACACAGTGAGGCTAACGACATCGCGGAATTGTGCCATATTATTCGGTTATTCCCGTGAAATCGTGTTGTTGATGGAATGGTAAGTTCTATCACGTTCACATGTACATTACGATAATAAACTTCGTATGAAAAGCCCATAGCAGCTGGGCCTCCCTCTTTAAAATTCGGCTCACTGGCACTAAATCCGTCAGAACTGATCGAAACACTAGTTATAGGTAGACACCTACACCCTGTATAGGCCTAGTACGCATTCAAACGTCGCGGAAGTCCCGAACAGAAACCGACTACATGGCTGAAAAGTGAAACTGGTAGGAACTGAGTGACTTAAAGAGGCTTCCGACTATTCACCTGTAGCAACTTCTATTTGCATACCTCTCCTTATCCCCTTCATCTTCATAACTTCACCGGATTCTGACCCCTTCTTTTCCGTGTAGGACCCTTCTGTAGTGAACAGGGCACTAGAATATAAAGTAACCTGTATATGTAGTTTATTTGTATGAAGTCCGTGTTTTAGTTGAGCAACGAATAATGTGAATCGAACGTAATCGCGACTTCGAGCTGTCAATGCTGTTAGCGCCCTCATCAGAATAACAAACCCTTGCGGCTGATCCAACAATAGCAGGAGAATCTGTAAACAACGTGCAAATCTCAGACAAATCTGTAAACAACATGTAAATCTAAGCTTTTTAAAACTGGTAGAAGTAACAGAGTATCCACCTCAAGAGCATAACATTTCGAGTCTAGTTGTGGGCTGTTCACCGAAAAAAGAACAGCATCCAAGCCGTTGGTAGAATCCAGAAATCGACGCCACGCGTTATCCTGGAATCAGGAGCCCTTTATTCACGTGGTAATGGTTCAAATAGCTTGCACTGCTACCGAAGTTTTCAAATTTTAACAGAAAGACTACAGTTCCATTTATATTTTATAGTAAAGTAACTTGGTAGGAGGGAGCTGCTGCTATGGAAAATTCAAAGCCCAACCTTTTGATTCGCAACTCGATGACCAAACAATATTTCAGAATGGAACTTTGAACAGCTTTCCCTTTTCCTCAAATTAGTTGGATTGGTACCTAATTTGGCTAGGAAGATGAAAACAGAGCTTTGCAGTAAGTGTCTTTTACATTGCAAATGTCGCATACACATTCAAGTTGCTCTGCGAGTTGAACTGGGTGCAGAATGCACGGCGCATCCCAAAACCATTGTAATTAGTAGAAGATTCTATCGGAAGCGGAGGGCTGAGGATCGAGCATTCTCTCACATAAGCCTGCTGCGCTGAACTGCTTAACTGACGACTATAAGGGGTTATAAGGGGTGGGCAGGACAAGAAGTAAACAAATGTTTCTTGAATCCTCCACAAAATATAAATAAATCGAACAACATCAAAATCAGATTACTATTACTTCAAAGGAAAAAGTATAGTAATAACTTAGCAAGATAATGTGTAGAGCAGAGTAAAATTCAAAAGTCCCACCGATTTTTCCAACAGAATTTTTAGACATTCGATGCAGTCCGCTTCAGCCACCTGAAAAGAAGTACCGTTATACAAATAATGGACCTAATATCCGATACCCTTATTCACTGCATAAATTCATTCCAAAAAAGTGAGGCCACGGCCCGATTCATCGGATGACTTGTTTGTCGTGTGATCTAGTGCGTTTCCCTCACTCACTTAATGGATCTGGTTTGACTTGTTCTCATGCTCACCTCTGTGGTACTACACTTTTGTAATGTTTGGGTCGTTATGCTACTGAAAGTAAAAGTAAAACTTTCAGAGCTAATTAAATATTGAACTGCCTGGGTAAAAAGTAAAACAAAGTTCGACAGGTACAAGATTTACTTAAACATGAGTAAAAAAGATAACTGGCGCCAGTAGCTAACTGCCACAAGTACAGAAACCTTGGCAAGTTGTTACTGGTAATGAAATTTGGAATAAGTTCACTTACAGCTGCTTTCCGTTTTCTGTTGGTATTCGTATTGCTTCTTGATAGTAGATTTGATATCTTTGATGGAGCTGGTTGATTTGAATTGACGATCCCTTGAAGGACGATAACCACTTTGCTCAACAGTTCTACGCCATTCAACGGTCTAGCAATGAACTCTTGACAGAAGTGCTGCGACCTGAATGAACCCGACGTAAGCCCTCCTGAATATGTTAAAGAAAATGTATTCCTTTTTAAAATAAAGCCTCATTCCAATATCAGTGCGATAATAACTATGTTTCTCTCAGACCAAGAGATTGAAGTTTTTAAAAAAAGAAAACGAAGTTCAAAATTGACGTCAATCTACTTATTTCGCGATGTGCGTGGAAAAACTGGCTGTGATTGGTTGTAGCGGACAGCCAACCAACCACATGTGTTATATGCAGCATTGCGAAAAATGCCCCAGAAACTGTATCCGAATTCTGTGAAACTACCAACGTTTCTAAAGGCAAATATCAAAGACCAGCAATTTCTCGAAGTGGAGACCCGCCTCTGAAAAAGTTCATTTCTGCTTCACAGGAGGGTGGCTACATTTTAATATTTTGAAGGCCTACTGCGGAATACGGTCAGCAGCAGCTATACAAACTAAATAGTACCCTTTATGTAAGAGCGCGTGAAAATGTAAATGTTTGACTTCCCCTTCTAGTTTTTGAACTCAAGATTGTAATTGTACGAAAGACAAACACCGGGCCCTAGTCAAGTTGAAGTGTTGGAAGTCTTGTTTTAAAATGCAACTGGAATTTGTGCTATCAAAACCAACTTAGGCTCTTTTTCAATCTTTTCCGGAAGCTACATCGTAAAGTTACATATCTCTCTATTCAACACTTCAAAGTGAGCCAGTGAGACAAATGTGAGACATTAGACAAACGAAAAACTAGCCAATGCTTGTCCAGGGATAAAGACGGGACGTTTCCGGTCTGAGACAGCAGCCAGTTTGCAAACAAGCGCTAAGGACGACGAATTTCCGCTCATGAGCCTCTTACCTTGAGTTTTCCACGAGGATTTGATCTTTTAGGCTTAGCAGCACAAAGCCGGCATCAGATAGTGACGTACCATTCGGCGGCGCTGAAACAGGAAACTGATGGAATGAACTATCAAATCGCTTCTGTGGAGGGATCATATGGATTAAATAGCTAATTGAGCTATTCCCCAAAATCTGTAGAGCTGAATAAAGATTTCAGTGTATGGGAAAAAGGCGAGTGAAAAGAGCACTGAACATCGTTCGAATTGTCCGATTCAAATGCAAACTGAAAGAGGATGATTTGTTTGCGGATTTCGTGGCCATCCTGCCGTGACCTGCCGCGATCAATAAGTGAAATCAGAGTTCACGAAAGCGGAGGAAAAATGATGTAAGTGAGGGTAAAAAAGGAGAACAATGTTGCATCAGGTACCAAGTGAAAATGGTGACAGAACAGGTGCACGACTGAGTGACAGCTTGAAAAAAACCTCGCTGACGAAATTCACGATGAGAGTGTAGCTATTAGTAGTTATCAATAATGGCATGCACAAATCAATATGGATCAATAAAACAGAAATTGTAATTCGCTCTACTCAACTATGGACTAATGAAGTATGCGAGTACCGAGAAAGAAGTAAAACCAACCGGGTTGAGGAGAATCAGCGACCAGAACAAATCGCTTTAGTTGATCCGCAATATGGCGAGGCGTCGAACGTGGGTCCTGTATGGAAACAGCGGACATGGTGTCTTGATCCTGCACCACAGGTAATAAACTGGTTCCCTTATTCTGAAGAGGTCTATTTATACAGAACTTTAGTAAAAACAAATTGAACTTTATGAGACAACAGAACGTAACGAACAGTACTGGAAAAAAGCAAACGGAGAAGTTTAGTTTGATACTGAAAGTTTGAACATTTTTTCGATGGCATTGAAATTTTTAGCATTTTTTCGAGTCTTGGTAGAACGAGCCTGTACTACTGTATTACTATGATTGTAGCCAACAGAACGTCATAGGGGGACAACTGAGTAAACGAGGGGCAATGAACGTTAATGGGCGCATATGTCTAGCTTCAGGTAAGTGGACAACTACTTAGATGCGACGTCCACTGACCTGTTCCTTCGTCTTCCAAGGAAGTGAATTGTGTAGCGAAAAGAGTAGATGACAGAGTGAGAAGGGTAACTGGTAATGGATGCATAAACGAGTAAAAAAAANNAAAAAAAACTATGAAAGGACAAACTGAATTGAACATAAAATATTCTGCTAGGCGATGCCAATCGCTAGACCTCCGAACACTAACGCTTGCTAACTTCAGAACTGATCTTTTCCTATTCAGACGGTGATTGATAGTTTACAAGTAAGTTCAGTAAGTAACCGAATCTCCTTTACAGAAGGGTATGTAGACCGGACCCTAGTCGTATTGCACATGGGAAATTTGGACTTAAAATGGGTTTACTGATAAGGTGAAGGTTATGAAGCTACTAAAGGGCGCGATGAGCTGAGTTCGAGATGATGGGTTCCAGAGTGGTCAGGGGCGAGGGACGAGAGGCGGAATCGATCCAGGTACGAGCTGTGGCGGCTACGGTGAGCGGAAGCAAACAGTCTTCTGTTGACTCTGGACGGACGACGAAAATTCCTCTAACTCTTTACCTGATTGTGCGCACATGCGCCTTAGCGCTAATTCATCAATGTATTTGAAGAGGATTTCTTCCAAGTCTAACCAGTGTCCGTTAGACAAACGTGTTCCTGTGGTATGGTTCTTTTGGATTTCGGTACACATAGATTCACCCATGATTTTGATAGGAATCGATTTTTCAGGTTTGTATCAGGTAGCAGGCATATAAATATTTCTGTTCTAAGTTCCCAGATTAACATAAAAAACTCCTTCTCTGTGGGAATTCAATTTTATAGTTTCTTTCTCTGAAAAGAGGTTACTTACTGAACTTACCTAAGAATCAGAATCTGTTTAAATAGCCCAAACTGAGCATGTACAAAATTAAATAAAAATCTCAAAAATGACTTGTCCTTGGTCTTCAATTTCCCAATTTCGTGTCCGGGATGGATCCAGTCATGGACGAGTGAAAATCAGCATGCAAATCAGGAGAAATTTTGAAAATATTTTCAAGGGCTCGTTCGTTTCTGTACTTTTGGAATTTCACTGTTTGAAGCAAGATCGATACATTCGGAAGCTCATCAAAGAACTCCGTGGATTCATAAGAGAAACTTCGATAAATCCTTTCTCGGATTCTCCACTTTTTCCTTCACGTATACGTAAGGAGCCAGTGTTGATCAACCGCCGATCCCCCGTTTTGTCACCGCTCGCTCCTTTGTCTGTACTCTCTTTCTCGGCTGTAATCTCTTTGATTTTTTATAAGTTTTTCGATTTTGACCGAGCGATACATATTTTAAGCTAAGCCTAGGACTAATACAAACCATACTGCCCGTAGTGGGGAGGAGTGGAGTAGGAAGTTCCAGAACCCTAGAGCAAGATGGTTTGGAGATTCAACTGGGATCTATATTTACATGCTAAAGTCTTTAGCAGTCCTTTTGACAATTTTTGATTTTGAAAGACGCTGTTCGATGTGACGCCGAGAAATTTGTCTTAAAGAGCCTATTCTAGAAAAGAGAGTTCTGTTATTTTTCCATGTATGGAAGATATACAGCCTTTCATGAGAGATACAGCACGGCAGCATCTTCAGACGTTTATTTTCACTAAAAAAACAGTACTGTCGACAAGTCGCTTACGTTAGATACGAAAAATAGGTCCATACGGGACCGATTCACACACTTCGAATCAGACTCGCCAAAATTTTCCGAAATTGGCTATCGAATTTCACATCATTCATCTTCTATTTCCGACGTGGAGCCTTCGTAATATCAAGTACTATAATGAAAGAAAGTTTTGAGTATACGTACTTCCGCCAGGTTGCTTCGATGAAAAATAGGACGAAACGCTTCTTAAACGTTAATGACTACCTTTGCATAGGTTGTTGAAACCAATTTGATGAAATTTTGCAATTTTGGGTGTGTCCCAAATAGAGCACTGAAACGTTTTCTTCTGGATGGTTTCGAAGTCACCCTGATTTTTGGCATAGTGCTTAACCGTAAGAATATCCAAACAAACACGCAATCATGAAGGCTTTGCGAAATTGTCGTGCGCATCTGATACCGGCTATCGTCGGACAGACTACAACAACGCCAAGACCTGCAAAATGTACTGTATTTACTTAACCCTTCACTCCCTACTTTCCTATTATTTATTTATTGCTTATTACTTATTTACACACTAACAGAGTGCACCCCAAAGCAAAATCAGGACGTAAAATAACAGATAAACCATAACAGGCTTCTTTTCTCTTGATTAAATTAAACTTTTGAGTTCGGGATTTTTGTAGAAATAACCACCTCGCTTTCCCCACATTATACTCCAACACTTCGAGAAAGATCGAAAGATGACACAGTCATAAAGTGATCTCAACGAACTTCTCGGCGAAGAAGCAGTCAGCCAAAGCCGAATAAAGAATGGAATTTGCTTCTACAGCCGCCCCTCCAACAGAAACTCTTATGGATTATCACGTCAATCATTTGTTGAAGAAATGGCTAGCGAACAGAACTTTCGACGAAATGGATGACATGATGGCGGACGTCAAGGCGTGGATCGCCTCCAAGTATCGAAACATCTTCGCCCGTAGAAGTCGACGCCTAGCAAAAGGGGAGCAATGCTTAACGTAGACGGTGGACTTGTTCCGGATTATTTTTTTTGAACATGTCTTTGCTAAATATCTTTTATCAAAAAAAGCAGTGCGGAAAGTAAATGTCATGAATGACTAAAAACCACGCCCATTGAACTTTCTCTGTAGGTTGAAATAGTTCTTGAT